AGGAACTGGGAAGGAGGCAAGAAGTCAAGAAGAACCATATATGGTCTCTGAGTCTTCATTTAGGATCCACCCTGGGACTACAAAGTTCTCTTACCTGAACCACCCTTCACCATTCCCTAGAGTAAGAATATTAAATTGAGGATGCCATCCAGGGTTCAGTGTCATTTCCTGTATTATATGCTGTTTGAAAATGTCATTTAAAGCCATTTCTCGATGTGTAGCTTGAGCAGTGATTCAAGCTGGATCCTCCCATTGTACAAGAGAACGTTTGGTGGGTAAATAGACCTTAATTTTTAACTATTATCAGAAAATTAAATATAGGATCTGAAAAGTTTAAACTAAATACAAAAAGTAAGTGTTACATTTCTTTACTTTTTTCTCAGTGCTAAGGATTGAACCACGTGTTTTGCACATGCTAGGCAGGCACTCTGCCACTGACCTACATCCCTGGCCCTAGAGTTACATTTCTTTGTTAAGAACCACTATACCATCATATTTTGTTCTTTAATATCAAAAATTCAAAACATAAACAGACTAAAAGGCTTTAAATTTTAGAGTATTTAAAATAAAGTTTGTACTTAACTTTTATAATATGAAATCATTGATTTTTAAGCATGGAAGAAGGATTGCATTTATAAAAAAAAGATATACAATTTTCATGCCTGCAAAATTAGGTGTTTAAAAATATAATTAGTGCAGCTTTAAATCTGGCCAATTAAATTCTGCAGAACATCTGCCTATCTCCAGGGGACAGGCACTTGAATTGTTTTTGATTAGATATACATTGACTGCCCATGTGGATATTTAATTTTATATGTATATTATATATATAAATAAAATACATATTATATATATATGTGTATATATATATATATATATATATATATACACACATACATACATACATACACACACACATTTTTTTTGTTATAAGCTATAAATCTTTAGATTTGAAAGCATAGTGGTTTTGTGTAACTGGATGTAATTATTCCCAATAGGGTTTAAAATCAACTTAGCAATATTTTATAGACTACTTTAAAAGAAGCTATGTTCAAGAGATTTGATCATATAAAAAGATTCTAAAATGTATTTCTCTTGTTGACTTAGAGTATTTCCAGTTGATCTTTATTTTCTACTTCCTGGAGTTAAAAGCTGCCTTTGCTTTAATTTAAAGGTGTTAAAAAACAAATGCCAAATGTCTTCTTGGATATAAGGAGAGTAACTAAGAACAGAGTAGGGGTGAAGAGCATGAGAAGAAGATTAACATTAAACAGGGATGAGAGGTGGGAGGGAAAGGGAGAGAGAAGGGAAATTGCATGGAAATGGAAGGAGACCCTCAGGGTTATACAAAAGTACATACAAGAGGAAGTAAGGGGAAAGGGAAAAATAATACAAGGGGGACAAATGAATGACAGTAGAGGGGGCAGAGAGAGAAGAGGGGAGGGGAGGGGAGGGGATGGGGGATAGTAGAGGATAGGAAAGGCAGCAGAACACAACAGACACTAGTATGGCAATATGTAAATCAATGGATGTGTAACTGATGTGATTCTGCAATCTGTATATGGGGTAAAAATGGGAGCTCATAACCCACTTGAATCAAAGGGTGAAATATGATATATCAAGAACTATGTAATGTTTTGAATAACCAACAATAAAAAATTTAAAAATAATAATAATAATAATAATTTAAAGGTGTGTGTTTTAAAAAATCCATCCATTTAGTGCATTGGTTTATAGAGTTATCCTGTTGCTACTGACTCAAAATCAAAGCAGGAAAAAAAAAAAGTCTGTAAACCTGCCAAGTGCAGGGGTAAAAGTTGGAAGGAAATTTGTATACTGTTAGAGGAAAATAGCATAGTGTCATAGGAAGGTTTGGAATAGGCTACTAGAATAGGCAGTTGTTGAGTGTGAAATACCACACTGTCTACTATAACATTTTAGAAGAAAATTAGTAAAAGATGAATGCAAGAAAAAATGCAGGCTCATAAAATAGCAACTTTAGCTGTCTTCAAGGACTTTCATTTTCACTTCATAAAAAAATATCAATCTGAAATTATGAAGCTAAAATGAACCCAGAAAACCTGTAATTCCTGGTTTTTAAGATGACTGGAAGGCCTGGTCAAAATTAAGTCTATTTGTATTCTTTGTTCAATATCTCATAAGAAGCAGAGTGCCTTATATTTAGTACCTATTACCTACTTAATGAATGAATGAAATGGGTGAGTGAATGAATGAAGGAACTGCCAACCACATTTAGTTGGCAGTTTTAGTTTGTGTAAGTATGTAATTTTTAAACAAATCATTCAGCAAAATAACCCAAAAGGATAAAGTTCTAGAATAAAGATGTGGGATATATAGATATATCGGTAATTTTTATTTTGTTTCTTATGGTTTTGTATATTTTCCTTTTTTTTTTTCTTTTTAGGTACCAGGGATTGAACTCAGGGGCACTTAACTACTGAACCATATCTCCAGCCATTTGTATTTTATTTAGAGACAGATTCTCACTGAGTTGCTTAGGGCCTTGCTGAGTTGCTGAGTTGCTAAGGCTTGGAACTTGCGATCCTCTTGTCTCAACCTCCTGAGCTGCTAGGATTACAAGCGTGTGCCACCGTGCCTGGCTATTTTCCAAATTTTTAACAATAAATGTTATAGAGGAAAATTTCTTCAAGATACATAAGTGCCTAGAATTTTTTAAAAATGAAATCTTAATATAAATCTCTGCTAATTATCTCTACTAACATTTCATCTGTGATTCAAATTGAAGTAGCACTACTTTCACCTTAAAGGCTACTTGTGAACAAATGTTATTGTAGGAAAAACATTTCTAGGGTTATATATTTTAAAAGTAAAATTTTATCTTAACCTGTAGAAACTGACTGAACATTTCTGCCACTGAAACAAAGCAACATCAGTTCCATTTTGTAGAGCTGAAAATGTTTTATCTTTTTTTTGAGACAAAAAACCAAGATACTGTACTGGTGCCAGCATTCTTGTTTCAAATATAGTCACATTTGAATGAAAAATAAATAAATAATCATGCTAACCTATAAAAGCACTGTTCTGCTTTTCCTGACAGAAGCAAAACATTGAACCAGAATGAATGGATAGTCAGCCATTGTTGCAGTTGGTAGCTGAGTCCCTTGACTCACAGTTGAAATATATGTTTAGGTGGACCACATGGTCTTAGTTATCTGCCCACTGGAATGACACAATGGGAAGGTAATCTGATGAATATCATGGGACATCTGTGAACAGATCATAGCTATGCTTGATATGAATCATTCTTCCCTCAAAAATCTAAAGTTTAATAGTTAAAAATTTTAAATTGTTGTCATTGCATAAATGGAGTCATCTGGCCTATTACAGGGGTTAGGAGGGAATGAATACAATACATACTTTCAGATATTTTGCCAGTAAATTGTTTGACTAATTGTTAGATCTCTAAATTTAAGAAAGCCTAAAAACATGTTGCTTAAGGTGATCAATAAGAGTCTTGCATCTCTGCAAGCAATAAAAAATACCTTCTTTCACTACTCACGAGTGTCATGTAGGATATAAGATCTAAGTCTTATAAGCTTAGAAGACTTGTTCCTGTGTCAATCTTTAAATCCAAAGGGCTGAGTTAAAGATGTGCATATGTCACAACTGAAGTACTCCTGCCCATTGGATTTTTATGACTCTTAAGAAGGATCTTGGAGAAAGCATTTGGTGCCCAGGTTTTTGGGTTAAACTTTCCTTCACTGAATGACCCTATTCTCACATGGATTTCCCTTATTTGTGATCATACTTTGTTTTTAAGGCGCTACTATTTTAAAATGACTGAAAACAAAAGGAAAAACAAATGAAGTATTGGGTAAGGCATGACGCTGTGGCTTGCTGGTTACTGTTAATGCTGCTCTTAGACACTTTCTGAGTAATTTAGATTACCTGTTTGGAGGGAAGGGTTTGGTGATTGGAGGGACGGTTTAGTTTGTATTCTCATTTCCACTTGCAGGAGTAACCTATTGCCCCTGTATGATCTGAAACATGATACATGGTCTTGTAGTTTGACTTGTTTCTCTTTGATATTTTGACATACCTATCTTGGATTTTTTTGATTGATTGACACTAAAGAAAGTATACCTAAAGCTTATTTACCAGGGGTGTTTACAAATAAGAGTATGTGTTGTGTGTGTCTTTGTGTTTTATGAAATGTGAACAAGTTGTGATGGATATCTTTGCCAATAAATAATAAACACATATTTAAAATTTTACAAACTTATAATGAGGATATTTTTAGTTGTGGTAAACAGATCACTCAAGACTAATTTTTTATGAACAAGATAAGTATTTTGAAAATTAACATTTGAATGAGTTATGTATGTATTTCTTTGACATATAATCAACGGGTCCAACTCTTTAGAGCAAACAGACTAATTGGTTACAGTCTAAAAGGTCCACTGCAATCTTTAAATTCTGTACTTCCTGGGCTTTTAGAGTGATACGTATGTAAATGTAAAAAAAAAATGAAATGTGTGGATGTGATGTATGCCTAACAAAGATTAAACTGGTGGGATTTTTCCTATAAAATATCAAAAAGTAAATTGATCCCTATTGTTTTTTAAAAAAATATACAATTATTGATTTTCAGTGAAATGTATATCAATACATTTTATCTGGGGATAATTTGGGAAATTTAAGGGATTTTTTTTTTTTTTAAGGAAAGCACGAAGAAGAACATACAGATGGAAATACTAATTGCTTTAAGTTACCAGTAGTTTCTTTTCTGGATTTGAAAACAGTTATGTTTCTAAATATATGAGAACAATGATTTTGCCTAAAATTTCAGTATAATGACCAGGACTTCTCTCCTTTTTAGAGAAGCAGTCAAGTGTTTCTGGAACAGATAAGACAGCAGCGATCCAGTGAGGTTGATCCCCCAAGGAAGAAAGCTATGCATACTCACCTTTTTGGAAGGTGAACTGCTCCTCAATTAATGATGTCCTCCTTTCCTCAAGGTGTCCAAAGACAGGAGGTGGTCTGTAAAAGGCTGGATGACAACTCCATTGTCCAGAACAATTACTGTGATCCTGACAGTAAGCCACCTGAAAATCAAAGAGCCTGCAACACTGAGCCCTGCCCACCTGAGTAAGTAAGAGAAAGAAGTAAGAACTGGTTCTTCCGGTACAAAGAGAAAAACATCATGTATTCATATTTGGAAAATTACTCACATGAAAAAATAAATGAGGCTGAGAAAAAGGGAGGAAACAACATAGAGGGTGATATTTTGATATCCTTTTCCCTAAGCAAAGATTCCTATTTATTCATAGACTTCGATTATTAATTCTTTGAAAGCAGAAATTTCAATGAATTTGGTCCTGACACAGTGCTGGAATTGATCATATTATATCAATTCTAAGGTACATCTTTTCACATTTTAAGAACTATGAAATCAGGATTCATTTTGTTACTGATGGCATCTTACAGCAGTATTTGGGATTTTCCCCCTTTCTTAAAGTTACATGAAATATTGGTGACTTAAATTTAACAGCAACAAAATGATTTCTTTCCACTCCTTTTTTCTAGATATTTATCCTTTTAAAATGGTTTAAAAATACTCTGGAATGGAATATCAATGCTTTAACTTACTGACCCAGTTTTAAGTTCCATTGTTGCAAACCATCCTGTCTTCTGAATGCTGGATCCAGGCACAGAGGCTTCCTTCAGTCTCTTTCTGTTCATCAATGTAGCAGTTACAATTCACTGTAAAGAGAAGCACAGGAAAGAGCTATTCTTTTTAATGATGGCTCTAAAATGACATTTGCTGTCAGTAAGCTACACTTTATAATCTGTAAAACAGAAAGGTTTCTTGATTAAGCAAAAAGCAATAATTATGTGGAAAAAGACAAGGATGCTGATTTGATCATTATGATATTGATTTTTTTTTTTTAGGGATTTTACCAGACTGCCAACTGCAAGAAAAAAAACATGTGAATGGCATTTTATTCTTGTTTGAATAATCAAGACTAACCATTAACCCCTTGGTTAGCTAAGTGTCCTAAAAAGAAATTGATAAGGAAAAAGAGTAAGCAGGACATATATGTCCTAAACTGTAAAGAAAAGCTTCAAAACGAAGTTAATCTCCTTTTCCAAAAATGACCACAGTTGAATCACAAAAACTTGGGGCTTACAATGGATAAAAATCCAGGTTCCTAAGATGGATAAAGAAAGGTGCATTTCTTCATATTTATTCCAAAACAGTGATGCCTTATGAACACATTATCCAAAGCCAGTGCCTGCCTGCACATTTGATCTTAATTTTTCACTTCTAGTCTGTTGAAAAGGCTTAGGATAGTAACTATCAAGTAAGTAGTGCAAAGTATCTAGAATGATAGAAAATTTTTATTTTAAGATTTTATACTTTATGTCTATTGTTTTCAAAAAGTGATCACTGTGTAACTAATTCTTTAAAACTAAGTCATAGAAAAATATGGAAATGTGACCTATTATATGTATCATGAAAACAAGTTATTTATTTTTAATTTTGTTCTTTTCTCTGCCAGTTTTTTTTATAAATTCATCTCAAGATAAATTGAAAAAATTATATACATCAAAGTGGTGCTCAAAATCCATGGGCTAATTTTGTCCCCTTCTAGGTTTCCAATAACTACAGCATGTTTTCATGTAATTTTGAGTCTTAATCCTTCAAGTTAATTCCCTGACCCTCAGGATTTTAAGAATCATGTTTGGAATTTAATCAGCCATTTAAAGCATTTGAATGTTACTGGTTACACTTGCTTTATCTTGGCCTAGACTTTTTATTTGTTTGAAATTATGTACTCAAATGTTCACTGTCCTTGGAGAGTTCAATCAGTGGTCATTCCATCTCACATATTATGGATCTGAGTATTGCATTTGAGGATTTTCTTTAATGGTTTAAGTATAATTGACACAATAACATGTGATTTCAATTTGATTTCCTATCTTCTTTCCTTTTGTAGTTCTGAAATGAAGTTACTTAAGTTTGAAGTAAGTAATGGATGGAATTCAAAAGAGAAAAATAAAGGAATATGCGAAGCATAGACAAATTTAGTTTCAGAGTTTTCTTTTTTGGAAAGGCCTCAAGGAACCTATTTTAAATATTGTTTGCTGTTAGTCCAATTTTTTCTTAATTTCTTTTTAATGTTTTTTATTTTTTTGAATTTGGATTATGGAAGATGAAATATTAATTTTTCAGGATGTTTGTCATATATATTAAGATTCCCATCAGATACTAGCACTATAGGGATAAAAATCTTAGAAAGACTACTATGATTCAATAAGATTTTTAGTTAGTGTGAAGAAAGGAGATAGATTTTTTGTTTTCGGGTGATTATGTGATAGGCAAATAAAAAGAAAATAGGGGCTGGGTTATGGCTCAGTGGTAGAATGCTTGCCTGGCATGTGTGAGGCACTGGGTTCTATCTTTAGCACCACATAAAAATAAATAAATAAAATAAAGGTATTGTGTCCATCTACAACTAAAAAATATTTTTAAAAAAGAAAATAAAAACATTTATAATAGCACTATTAATAATTTGATGTATTTGCAATATATTATATATACATATTATATAATATGTACTATATATATATATGCTTTGTAGTCAGTTTTCTACATATTTTGAAAATTAAATATCTTTGACAGCACATAGTAGATCATCATAGCTGTCTTACAGCTTTTGATTTCCTGTGCTACCACAGCACTAACCATTTTTGTCACTAAAACTTAATTTTCCTTAATTATGCCCTTATGCTTAATAAATAGGAATAGAATTTCTGAAACAAATGGAAACAAATTTTAGTCTTTGAAACATATTGTCAAATTGCTCTCCAGAAAGATTTTATGAATGTATACTCCTACTAGCAAGATATAAGAATGCCATTTCCCTGAACTGAAAACACTTGGGTATTATAATTTTTAAACAGTTTTGGTTATTTTATGGGGGGAGAAGTGTTGATATCTAATTACTATTTTATATTAAATTTCTTGGATTGCTGATGAGGCCAAATATCTTTATTTTTAGAAGTCTTTTTTTGTGTATGTGGTGCTGGGGATTGAACCCAGGGCCTTGTGCATGTGAGGCAGGCATTATACCAACTGAGCTATATCCCCAGCTCTGAACTCTTAATATATAAAGAATATTAACTTCTGGGGCTGGGATCGTGGCTCAGTGGTAGAGCACTTACCTGACGTGTGTGAAGCACTGGGTTCGATTCTCAGTATTACATATAAACAAATGAATAAAATAAAGGTCTATAAACAACTAAAAAAAATTTAAAAGAAAAGAATATTAACTCTTTTACTTGTGTTCCAAATGTTTTTTCCTAAAATGTTCATATTCTTTATGATGTTTTGATTTATGTTTACTTATAAAATTCAATATATGATTTAGGAAAGCTACGGGAAATTGAACTCAGGGGCACTCAACCACTGAGCCACATCCCCAGCCCTATTTTGTATCTTTTTTAGAGACAGGGTCTCACTGAGTTGTTTAGTGCCTCAGCTAAGTTGCTGAGGCTGACTTTGAACTCTCAGTCCTCCTGGGTCAGCCTCCCAAGCCACTGGGATTTCAGGCATATGCCACTGAACCTGGCTAAAATTTCTATTTCTTTCATTGGTATAATGTTTAGTAATGTCTTATTCACTCTAAAATTATATTTTCAAAGTTTCTTTTCTTATTTTAATGTGAAGTATAATCTATCTGATGTCTATTTGCCTAATTTGAAGAAAGAATCTGAACTTTCAAATATTATTTCTTCTCATAGCATTAGTTTAAAACTCCAAGTTGTGTTTTTTTCTTAGAAAGTATCTTTTTAAATAATGAAATATTTGAAAATGTCTTAAATGTGTTTATTTAGCATTATATTCTCCAGCTCCATCCATTTACCTGATAATGCCATGATTTTATTATCTTTTAATGCTGAGTGATTTTCCACTGTGTATATATATCAAAGTTTCCCTATCCATTCATCTGCTAAAGGGCATCTGGGTTGGTTCTACAATTTAGCTATTGTGAATTGTGCTGCTGTAAACATTGGGGCTGTGTCCCTGTAGTATGCTGGTTTTAAGATTTGGGTATAAATCGAGGAGTAGGATAGCTTGGTCAAATAGTGGTTCCATTCCAAGTTTTCCAAGGAATCTCCATACTGCTTTCCATATTGGCTGCACCAATTTGCAGTTCCACCAGCAATGTATGAGTGTGCCTTTTTCCCCACATCCTCACCAACACTTATTGTTATTTGCATTCTTGATAGCTGCCATTCTGACTGGAGTGAAATGAAATCTTAGAGTAGTTTTGATTTGCATTTTTCTAATTGCTAAAGATGTTGAACATTTTTTTCATACGTTTTTTGATTGATTGTATATCCTCTTCTGAGAAGTGTCTGTTCAGATCCTTGGCCCATTTATTGATTGGGTAATTTGGTTGTTTTGTTTTTGTTTTGTTTTGTTTTGTTTTGGTGCTTAGCTTTTTGAGTTCTTTATATATCCTAGAGATGAGTGCTCTATCTGATGTGCAAGTGGTAAAAATTTGCTGCCAAGCTGTAGGCTCTCTATTCACCTCACTGATTATTTCTTTTGCTGAGAAGAAGCTTTTTAGTTTGAATCCATCCCATTTATAGATTCTTGGTTTTAATTCTTGTGCTATAGGAGTCTTATTAAGAAAGTTGGAGAATATAATATTAAGTGAAGCAAGCCAATCCCAAAAAACCAAAGGCTGAATGTTTTCTTTGATATGAGGATGCTGACTCATAATGGCGCTGGTGGCGGCAGGGTGTAACATGGGAGGGATGGAGGAACTTTAGATAGGGCAAAGGCAGGAGAGGGGAAGGGAGGGGGCAAAGGGGTGGGAATGATGGTAGAATGAGTTAGACATCATTACCTTAAGTACATGTATGAAGACATGAATGGTGTGAAAAAACTTTGTATACAATCAGTGACTTGAAAAATCGTGCTCTATATGTGTAATATGAAATGAATTGCATTCTGCCATCATGTATAACAAATTAGAATAAATAAATAATTTAATTTTTAAAAGTATTTACTATACTTACAAATGTCTATTTATATTAAAACCATTTGTAAGTACAGTATAGAAAAATAGAGGACAGTAAGATTTATCAATCCAATGTATTAGGAAAATGATAGGAAACTTGGAAGAACAAACAAAAAAGATATTGGTAGGGAAACAATAAAAGGGCTTATTTGGAAATCTTTGATGGGCCAGCAGAGACCTTTCTGGGAAACAGGGCTTTCATAGAGGCAACTTTTTAATGAGAAAGAGTATAGTAGTCAAGGTGGTGAATTGACTGTGAGTAAAAATAGTGGAATCCTTGACGTAGGCTTAAATAATTGGAAAAAAGGAAAGGGAGGAGTTGATATTAAAGGATATGACTGATAGGAAACTAGTATACTTCCATAAGAAAAGGAAGCAATGCTGAGTTAGAATCTAGAGAAAGGTCAAGTTCAGTTTTTTTTTCCATGTTTGTGTTTTGAGAGCAAGAATATTTCTACATATTACCTCATATGAAGAATCCCTACACTGATATTACATATTCTCTATGATATTGTGGTTTTTCTATTTGTGAAAAAAAGAGAGATAAAAACAACAAACCACACATTATAATAATACTGTGACCAAGAGTTAAAAAAAATTGATTAATGAGATGTGGAACACACTGTACTTTGGACTCATAAGGCCCAACTAACTGGGTAAAAACATATAAAAATAGTGATATTACAAGAGAAAATATTGTAAGTACAGTAAGAGAGTTATAAGCAGAAGTGCTAAAGGAAGCCAAAGTGGCAAGAATTAATTTTTATCCAGAGGCTAGGTTTTGTTTAATGGTATTTTTATTGTATAATAGTTAACAATTATTGAGTCATTGAACCTCACCCATGGACAAGTATAATTTGTTATTTCAAGTTTAGAAAAAGATTCATCAGAGTCCTCTATAAAACTCCAAAACTTAAAACCTGGAGACAATCACAGAAGTCATCTCAGCCAACTCCCATCATTTTATAGACCGAGGGTATTCTAAACTCTGGTGATGTTTTTCCCATTACACCAGACATCACTAACATTGTAACTTACAAAGCAACTGTCTGATAGCCTTTTAATACATCTAATTTTGCTTGCCTCATTGATATATTCTCAATTTCCACAACTTCAGAAATGTTTATGATTACATTGATTTTTTTTTTAAATTTAGGAAAACCTCAACTATAGAAAGTTTAGGTCCTAGAGAGTTCTGCTTAACGTTAGTTTCACTTTCCAGTCTAATAAATAATTTATTTTTTTAACCTTTGTTTTGAAAATATTTCTGAATATTTATTAGGTTTATTTCTTAGGTTTATCTTTAAACTCTGTGTCTTCTTATTTTAGTTTTCGTTTGTTTGTTTTATTTTCTTTTGCAGTGCTAGGGATCAAATCCTGGGCTTTGCTCATGCTAATGAATGTTCTACCACTGAGCTATAACAACTCTAGTGTGCATTCACACACGCACACACACACTCTCTCTCTCAATCCAAATATTTAATATCAGTTTTTTTCATATGTTCTGCCATTCTCCTTTGAATTATAAAGCAAAAATAATATTCTGGTTTTAAGGTGGGTTCTTTCTTCAAAAATATTCTGCTTAACCAAAGTTGGGACAAAATTTTGGGATAGTGTCTCCCATATTTGTTCCTCCAAATAATATTATTGTTAATGTAGATTATAGAGGATACAGCAAACCTATCTAAAAAATTTCAGACTCTCAAATGTGAATCCCACTGACTGTTAGCCTCTAATGGATATGAGGGCATTGTGAGGATGAAGACAATTTGATCATTGGGTATGAGGAAGAGCACAGAAAGGACCAGCCTTGGGAATGTTCAGACTATGACAGAATTTCTGTGTTCATGCTTTTACCACTAAATCTAAAGGAAGACAAGGAAAATGACAGAAAACTAGGTATAATGCCAGCAGAGGATCAAATATGCAGAGAAGGAAGATGAAAAAAGCAGTACATCTTAAACTATACAGGATAATAGAGAAACTGAGACAAGCAGATGCAGTGGTATAATTGCAAGACTATATTAAATAACTAGGGTGTGATTTAATCCTTCAGAGAAACATGGGGAGGGATAATATGATGAGCAATAAAGATGCAACAGGGACTGAATAGTGACGTCTGAAATTAAAGTCGGAAAGGAAATTGTGAGGGTGGTTAATACTTTTACTTTCATATATTCCAAGTTGAAGGGTAGAATGATATATCTAGGCTAAGTTTCTGAGAAGAGATGATTGGTAATAAAAGAAGGGACAAAGAGTAAAAAGGCAGAGGTGGCCCTGACCCTGTGCACCAAAGAACACTAACACTGCCTGAATCACTGTTGTTACCCCAGGCACCTGTGTTTAATTTGAAGGTCTCCATCCCTCTTACATTATGAGACCTAATGAGATCATGGCTGGAGGTGGTATGACTGAGCTTTTTGTGGCTGAGTTATACACATTTCTGTTTTATCCCCTAATCTTGGTGATGAAATCACTGTTACAAATTGAATCAGAGTTTCACTATGGCTGGCATGCAAGTTATTATTCTCAGTTCACAGTTTCCTCCTTAACCAAAAATGGTACTAAGAACTTGGGATCATGTTCATCTGTAGAAAACATACAGGAAAGAATATGAAAATCACTTTAAATCTCCTTTGGAAAATGACTTAACAAACAACAACAAAAAATTAATTTCAGATTTTTAAAATTCAGGATTATCATTCTTTAAATGAATTTTAGGTTGCAAATTTTTAGATTTTAACAGCTTTTTAATTGAAAAACTGGTTAGCTATGGTATTTCTGAATATTGATTTTCTTCTATAAATAATAATACAAATAATATGAAACAAATACCATTGTTATTAGTTTGCTAAATATAGTTTCAAATATAGGCTACTAGTACTATAACTTCACTGAAATAGTACCTTCCATATACAAAACTGACATAATGCAGTGCTACTTAGAGAAATAATAAGGATTTTTTTTCTTAAGCTTTATGTGTTCTATCTGGGTAGTTTCCCACTCAAGAGCATCAGCATATTCATTGATGATAGTTGCATAACTTATAACAATGTATTGAAGAAAATATCTTTTTATCTACATTCTGTATTCAACAATGTTAAAATGAAATTCAGTTTAAAGGCAATTGATGGGGGTCATTGCTCTGAAATTATGTATATATATATATTCATTGATGACTTTAAGGAAAGGAATGGATATACCTACAAATGTGAGATGTGTTCATTTAAGACATTTGAGTTTTTCCCCCACATTAGCCATACAAAAGCTGGTTTTTTAGGAGTGAAGGAGTTAGAACAAGGTATCTGTACATCTTCATAGAGCTGGCTTAGGGTTTTACTTTTGCCAAAAGTGTTTTAAGGCACCTATGTCCTCACTGTAGATACCTGGGCCTCTCTGCCCCAATAAGTACCATAAAGGCCTACTATCTTCATGAAGTTCATTTCTGGAAATTAGAAAGCAAATCCTCAATTCCTTTAGGATGACTTGAGCATATTATCTTCAATTATGGGAGAATCAGCCTCAATATAATACTATTAAAATTAATAACTATTTCTTATTGGTGATATGCCAGTATGTACTAAAGCTGGCTAGTACTTATTCTCGAGACCCTATTATTAGCTTATCTTCTCCTGTTCATATTATGTCAAATAGGTAGCTTGAAATCAGCCATAGTAAGGCATTATACCACAAAAATTGGCAAATGCCCCAATTCAGAACTCCCTTTCCACATGGAGAGCCAGTTGTCAAACATTTACTAGCATGGCACTGGAAACTTTAAATATTTATCTCTAACTGACACCGAATAATCTTCATTAGGGGGCTCTTCCATTTGCCACTTGTTATTTTAACCAACATGAACTGTTAGTTTTTCTAGGAAAAGGATAGAGTCCATTCATGCAAGTGCCTTCACTCGCCTGGAAATCTCCGATGTACTGAGGAAATGCTTTTCTGTGTTTCTTCCACTTCTTGCTGCAGGTGGTTCATTGGGGATTGGTTGGAGTGCAGCAAGACTTGTGATGGTGGGATGCGCACAAGGGCAGTGCTCTGCATCAGGAAGATCGGACCTTCAGAGGAGGAGACACTGGACTATAGTGGTTGTTTAACACACCGGCCTATCGAAAAAGAGCCCTGCAACAACCAGTCATGTCCACCTCAGTGGGTGGCTTTGGACTGGTCAGAAGTAAGGAAATCTGAGGCTGTATGTTTTCAGATGTCTTAACTATCAATACCAAAGCATTTAATATTAAGGACACCTGAGCATGTGAGCGCCTTAGAACTTAACAAGTAAGAACTGCATGACAGTGAATTCGGCCATGTTTTATTTTATTGCTGCTTATCAAGAAGTAGGGGGTTTTTTGAGTCAGGGAAGTCAATGAGAAATTATGCATCAATCTGATTGAAAAAAAGTCTACAGTAAATCTGAAATAACATTGTAGTGGGTACAAATATGATTTTTTTTTCTTTTCTTACTATACAAGCAGCATCACAAACTCAGAATTAGGACTATGTTATTAAAAACTGAAGTTCAAAAGGACAATTGGAATTTTTCTTACCCCATCTAGGCCTAGTGGCACATGACTATAATCCCAGTTTCTCTGGATGTTGGGGCAGAAGGATCACAAGTTCAAGGCCAGCCTGGGCAACTTGGTGAGACCCTGTCTTAAGATAAGAAATAAAAAGGGCTAGGGATAGAACTCAGTGGTAGAGCACCCCTGGGTTCAATGCCCAGTATGAAAAAGCAAATAAATAAAATAAAATTTTATTATCCCAAATTTTTGAAGACCTAGAGTGACCTTTTCTAGGATCTGAGTTGGAAGGCACAAAGTTTTAAAAATCTGTTTTTCAAGTAATGTAACAGCCTAATCACATAATTTTTAGATATGAGCCTTTATCAATTTATTATAATTTGTGATATATCTGTATGTTTTAATTGCTTCTATTTGCATCTGGAAAAGAGACGTGGAGCTGAGGGATATACCAAAAAGTCAAGTTCAGAATTTATCATTATCTTATATATATGATTAGTATATAAGATGGGACTAAGATGCTTTAGGGGCATGAATTTGTACAAAATAATCTAATATAATCCAGAGGAACTTGGAAAAGTGATCTTGTGGAAAACAAAAAAAGAGGTATATAATTTTTGTTCCCTCAGTATGCACAAGACATGTACATACACACACTTACAGCATTTTCCACATTTCACAAAGAAAAGCTGAATCTTCCGTAGCAGTGGTTAGTGTTAAAAAGAATGAGTACCTGGCTAGAGATAATTCTTTCAAATTAGCAAAACAGGATGCAATACAGACTCTATTCTAATATATCCTGCTGGAAATATTGTGGAACTTACTTTGGGTATTTCCTGTAGACCTCATGAGTTTGTCAAAAACAAATGAAAAAGTCAAACTGTTATTTAGGAACCTCTGGATGTAACTATTCCCCCTGTGAACCTTACTGCTTGGGTGGCCTTATTTTGCTAGAGAAACAGGCCAGAAGAACTATGTTTAAGATGGTACATGGAAGCAATGTTTCTGACCACTCATGATTATCCATGGACTCTGGCAGGAACTGGGAGTGTTCTCCTAAGTTTCCTGGCCATACTCCAGCTTTAGTAATTACATTCTACCTACTTTTTATTTGAAGTTTCAATCAAATATATAGTCATTGGTATTATCCAGTCCATGGTAGTAGAAAACAGTATAGACTTCTTTTCCCTAATAGTAGGTGCATTAACTTCTAAATTCATCTGAAAGATGAAATTCAATGATTAAAAAATAGATATTCTGCAGGATTAGACATTTATTAGTGCCCAGGATACTTATATAAATCCATAAATATTAATCAATAATGATGATAATTTATTATGGGAAAATCACAGTGGGAGACTTTATATTACAATTTGGCTGCAAGAGGAGCATTATAAGGTCAGAGCCAGCTTCAACAACAGCAGGGCACTAAGCAACTCAGTGAGACCCTATTTCTAAATAAAATACAAAATAGGGCTGGGGATGTGGCTTAGTGGTTGAGTGCCCCTGAATTTAATCCTCAGTACCAAAAAAACCTAAAACAAAACAAAAACTAAATAACTGGGTACAAAAGTCTTAGAGTTTCAAGTCAAGTTGGTTAAGTATGATTGTGTTTACTGGGATAGGCACTATGGAAAATATGAAAGAATCTTATTAAAAAAGAAAATATTCATGAAGCAACTAGACATTAATATGACAGTGTTTAATAAACAGTGGATTGTGATATATAAATGTATAACACATAGAAATTCAGGGCTAAGCAGATAAAGGTAGCCTGGAAAAGTATCCTAGTTTTTTCAGTTGATGGGAGTTGCACTGAATATTGAGAATAGAATCTGAAGAGAATAGGGAAGCTGGAGAAGGTATTCCTGATAAGAGAATCAACTAAACAGAAACAAACATTTTAAGATAAAAGCAGGATGGGGAAAAAGTTTGTTTTAAAGATTAAGTAATAAAGTAGTACTAAGTAATAGGCTTGAAAGCTAAACTCTATGCCAAATCATCCTTCATAAGCAGAAATTAGAAGAAAGTTTTGCCAACCACTAAACTACCAAAACTTCCTTATATCAGACTTATTTCACATTGGTCTCCTGACCTACACTTCTCAGTATCATTGTGTTGTTTTTTTTTTTAAATAAATCCTGTGTCTTTCTTTTTTAAATATCTTTATTTTATTTTTATGTGGTGTTGAGGATCAAACCCAGCACCCCACGCATGCCAGGCGAGCGCGCTACCACTTGAGCCACATCCCCAGCCCTATCATTGTGTTTTTAAAATTTTTTATAGTTGTATATGGACAGAATGCCTTTATTTTATTTGTTTATTTTTATGTGGTGCTGAGAATTGAACCCAGTGCCTCACATGTGCAAGGCAAGTGATCTGCCACTGAAATACAGCTCCAGCTCCTCACTGTATTTTTGTTTTAAAATAAAACCACCAAAATAGAATCACCTTAAAAAATAGCTAACATATATTACCAATATGCTTCCATTTCAAATACCATTTTAAGGGTTTCTATTGAATTCAATTTCACATAGACTATATTTACCCCACTTTTAAAATTCTCATTCTAATCTATCCAATATTTGCAGTGACTTGCTCAAATGGTTCTTATAGGCAGGCATTTCTGGCAGCTGCCTGAAGAAATACATGTAAGCTGAGGGTACATTCAATCATAGTTCTGCTATCTTTAAAATAGCTGAGTCAAAGACTTAAGCAAAAGAAGATGGACTGGGCAGGTGGAGTGTACATGTTGTGACCACTACCTCAGATAAATCTTCACTAGTTGCTATTGTTTCTCTATAGATGACCCAGGAAACTATCATGGTGTAAGCATAGCTTCTGAAATGCTGCCAATAATGTCTAGTTGAACATCAGCTTTACCTCCTTCATCATCCTTTGTTCAATAGGAAAGATGGGTTTTGCCCAATGTGATCTCTCCTGTTTATATTGCAAAGGGTGGGTTTCATTCTTGGGCTTCCGTTTTGTTACTTTACCAGGAAGCCCATCTCTTCCCTAGATGGGTTAAAAAATAAATTGGAATAAAGAGCAGTAATTGAAATAAATGTCTGAGTAACTAGGTAGATGAAAGTGAGAACAAGAGCCTGTTCTTCCCAGAGAAGTAGAACACCTTCCCCTAATGACAGCAGGAGTCTGTGCAGAGGAGCAGGCAATGTTCAGTCTTTCACTTAACATTTTACAAATATTTTACACAATTTTATTTTGACACACCCATGAAAACTTCCCTCTTCTTTCTGCTCCCTCCTCATTTTTAACCATCAGCCCTTTGAGCTTTGTTAATCACAGGGTGAGGTTCACTTGGTGAAAATATGTTGTAGTAAGAGGAATTTACCTTTTGACCCTTTACTTTTCTTTGCTGGCTACTCTAATACAGTATAAAATTTCCATTGTTGTAAAGCCAGCAACCATTTTCCCCAACATTTAAGCCCACCCAGCGCTTATGGCAACAGGGGAAAAAAAAAGCCAAATTTGAGTGCAGGGATATGGTTCATCAGCGGCTTTTTGTGAAAATAATGAAGTCACACCTTTCTCATTTTCTCCAATCTGTCCTCAATCTTGGGACCACCCTTGCTATGTTGGACTTTAAATGGTTTTCTTTCTTTGCCATCATTTGACAAGTAGCTCTTGAAAGCATTGCTTCTACTATGGATGGGCTCCAGCAGTTCTAATCCATTCTTCTGATGTATCAGAGTGGGTTCTTTGACTACTGCAGAGTACCCTTTGGAAAGGGTCTATTTCTTGTACTTCTTTTGGACAAGTGAATAATGGACATCATATTCAGCTGACTTTGTAGGTAGCATTACACTGAGGTAGCATTATGTAAGGACTCGGGGTAGTGGTGGATCTACCTACAACCTACTTACACACTTGTTTGAGAAAAAATAATTGTGATGTCATCATGCCTACACTTAGGTTCTCCACTGGCCCTGTAATTAAGTAAATTAAACCCCTCCTGCAAGAACTCAGTCTAACCCCAAAATTCTTCTCTAGTAATTTTTTCTAGTACATTTTTTCTATAAAATATGCTCTTGCATATTTTTAATCAAAGAATATTAAACAAAAGCATGAATGTGTCGCCTAAGAACCACCTCCTATATCCTGCTGCAATAAAAAGATAAAACAGATGGTCTGGTCAGGTTTTAAATAATTGTGAGATTCTAATTTTTGAATAAAAAAAGAAAGAAAATGTTATTTACCTGCAAGAAGGAGAAATAAATACTTTTATTAAAGAATTACTTATCCACTAAAATATTATCTTCTACTCTACTCCACTAAATGGTCTATTCTGAGAGGTTTTTATAACTATTCTTTAACTTAAAAATGAATTTTGGGTGTGGGGGTTGTAGCTCAGAGGTAGAGTGGTTGCCTGGCACATGTGAGGCACTGGGTTTCTTCCTCTGCACCACATAAAAATAAATAAATAAATAAAGGTATTGTGTCCAACTACAGATAAAAAATATTTTAAAAAATGAATTTTTATTACTGAACTACATATTTAAATTTTAATGATTACTAGTGGATTTATTGCATACTCAAAAGAATTTGCAAAAACATACACTTTGCATGGGTATAGACAAGTGATTACTTCTGTAGAATATTCTGAAGCATTCACACGTAGGCAAATGCCTGTTAA